AGTGTCTATGAGTAGCATCAAAGTAGATTTATAGTATTTCATTCAAAATATCTTTATTGGAACATTTGGGAAGAACTTAAGAAGTAAAAAAAAAAAAGTTGCCCTTTATGACCCTTTTTACACATTCAGTTAGAGCATTTCCTTTCATTCTGATTTCTGGGCTTTTTTTGTTTTTTTGGCTTGAAGGTTGCCCTGGCACTTTCTTTCTCCTGCTGATTGGTCTGTCCTTGTGCTTCCGGCACTGGCTCCTAGGTTGCCATGTTGGCCTAATAATGGCAAAAAAACCTGTGTGTGTTTTTCAGCGTAAAGAGATCCTCGACTGTTGAAAAATCGCATGGCTCATGGGAAAGTTCAGAAGACAGTCGCAATAAACTAATGAGGGCAGCCTCCGCATCCAAACTGATACCCAAAGGTGGCAAAAATGCAGACAAGTATGTACTTGTTCACTAGTTGGTGCAGAGAATATTTTCTTGGGTGGCTACTACCAAAACTCTCTAAAAGTGTGTTTTCATATTCTGTTCACCCTGAGCCAAAGCTCCATGATTGCTTTGCTCACATGGTGTTTCTATGTACTTTACTGCCCTATCATTTTCGTGGATAGCACAATCCTTACTGATGGGGAAGATCTATGCATATCCAAGTTTTCTGAAGGATGTAGCTGGATTGGGGGCACCATTATTGCTTGCTTTCATTACCGTACTGGATAATTTTTCTGGTTCTTTCCTCGCATACAGAACTAAGCAGTCTTTAGGACTGTACGAGAAAGCTTGTTTTTGCATCAGTTCTACAATAGTTATTTGCATGTTTGCATTACTTTAGCACTTTATATTAAGCCAGGTTGCTCTTTCAGAGATGGCAACTTGTCTATCTTTAAAGCTCTTTAACCAATCAAAACTGGGTTTTAAGTAAAAGTTCATTTTTGAAAAGCATACATTTCTAGCCATACTTTAAAAAAAAATCTAAATCACTGTTTTTTGTTGTCTGGTTTTCATTTTATTTACTGTAAGTGTCAGTACTAATATTTTCAAACCCTGAGTTTATATTAGTAATATTGTGCATTTCTCCTTCCAGACACAAAGATGTCATTGTCAGCCAAGGTAATTGAAAACACTTGTTTTTAAATAGAAGTTTGATGCTGGGCTAGACAGTTACTCTTTCTAAATGTATTTCTGAAGTACATTCAGGAGATGAATTTACTCTAGGAATTAAATTGGTTTTGTATTTAATATGATGTTTGGTGTGATTAAAATATATGGTGTCAAGTGGGCTTATTTTCACTGATTTTAGTGACAAAGGGCATCACTTTGTGAGAGGCATGTTAACTCTGCACACATAACACTCTTTATAAGGGCTTCCCCATTCATTTTTATGTAAGAAGCAGATCTGCATGCACTTTTTTTTTTTTTGGTGGATTAGGATCTTCTGCCTTATTTAAAGCATTGTCTGCAAGCTATCCTCAGAGAACATACCAGAGTTGTATCAGGGCAAATGACTGGAATCCAAAGTGTTCTGAAATCTCTTTGAGTTTTTATCAGGATTACTCATGTACAAGATTCTGCCCATCATGCATTTTATATCTTTCATAAAATACATGGTTTCTTATTTTCTGTTGAAGTGCTAGGGTTGTTTCCCATATGCATACTTACTTATTCAAAGTACTAGACTGGGCATGGAATGTTAGTCTTTGCCCAGGACAGGAAACACCTGTAAGTTGTTTTATTTCTGTCCCATAACTAGCAAAAATGTCAACCCGAGAAAAGAACAGCCAAGGTAAGGATTAAGCTATACTAGCTGGTTGCTTTCTAGTTAAAAAGCTTTTTTTGATCTTTTATTTGGCTTTTTGCTACCTCGGAACACATGGGTTCAGTCCTTTCAATTTCTGCTAAATATGTATTCTCATGTTCAACCTCAATACAAAGCTGGAACTGAGGTATGGCATCCCCCCCAAAAAAAGGTTAATGTTAATTGGTATGCATCTAATTTTCCAATTTTTTTTGAGAATGGACCTGACATGTAACTGAGTGAAATATTACTCAGACTGTTGCCTTCTAATGGTATTGTGAAATGCCAACTAAAAGATCCTCTTGTCCTCGGTATTCTGGGTTACCAATCATGTGTTGTAATGGAATAACAAAAATCAAAAGTGTTAAAAAAATAACCTCCTATTATGATACATCAAAAAAAGAGAAAAGTCCTTCTGTCAGTAAATCCTGTCTGGCTGTGGCTGCTGCTGTGTTATTGAAAGAGACAAAGAATGCCAAGTAATCACAGAACATATGTACACTTATTGTCAGCTAAAAAAATTATTGAAAATACTAGCTTTGATCTGCAAATTATTCTGAAGCATGAAGCTTGAAATTGGAGCATGTCGGCTCAAGTGCATGGCAATATATATAGTTTAGTACTTGCATTTTAAAAATGCTGTTTTTGTTGTGAATTTGTAAATCTGTGGTCTGCAAAGTACTCCACTTTAGGAAATTTCTGCTGTATTGTATGGCTTGGATTGGTATCATTCGGCTCTGCAAGCATCTTCTAATGGTGCATCCTTTTTGCTCCTGCGCTTTTCTTACAGCATTTGTCCAGATTATCTGTTGCAGCATATATGCCATCTCCTGAAGCAGTGAATGGAATTAAATGGACTTCTAGTTTCTTCCATCTCTGTGGTTCAATATTGATTTTGGTCTAGGGTTGCCAATATCTCGGAGGGCACGGAAATATTGTGTATTAATTTTCGTAAAGATTGCAACAATTAAAAGTCACATAACCTGCATGCTAGTATCTCTCTTCATTGTTACAATCTCACATCAAAGGAACAGGACGCAACTCACTGTAAACCAAAATAATTTCAAATACGCCATCACTATCTTCATAGTTGTCTGAAAAGCAGTAATTTATTCTCTAGGAGACTTGCTACCAATTAGTAACTCTCTTTAGTGAGATAAGGTATATGATACTTTCCACAGTCCATTTCTTGGGAAAAATCCTTCAAGACGACAGTAGTTTAAATCCTCTTAAGAAGGCAGTGATTTTTTCTTAATGTTTTAAAAAAATTAATTAAGGTTTTTTTCTTAATTTTTTTTTCTTAAGTAGTTTAAATCCTTTGTGAAGGATAGTTTTCTTCTAATATCTAGGAGGCGCCTGAAGATCTCCCTGAATCACTGTTTTCCCAGACTGAAGAGATCAGTTCCCCTGGAGAAAATGACTGCTTTGGAGGGTGGTCTCTATGGCATTGTACCCAGCTTAGGTCCCACCCACACACCCTCCCCCACCTCTGTCCCAAACCTCCAGGAATTTCCCATGTCAGAGCTGGTGACCCTATTTTGGTCCCATGTTACACTGTCTCTTCATTTGAACAAACAGAAAATCAAAGTGGGAATAATATGGTCTGATAAGCTGCTGATGGCGCTCTTGCTGATGGCTGCTGTGCTCTTATTCTGCTTCAAGTTTTTATTTGTAATGGTATTGCTATATTTGTTGTCTGTTAGCTGCTGCAACAGCAATATTCTTAAGCTAGTTAGTAGGCTCCGAATTCTGAAATGGTGTTCATCTACCTCCCAATTTCAAATCAAAACGAGACAATTTGTTGAGATACATTGTTGACACTTCCTGTTCTGGTGGTATCCTGAGCACACACACCCCTTTCAGTGCCATCCAGTCCTTCCAAAGGTAAATGCAAATCTATACTCCTCTCCAGTTATGAATAGTCCTTACATTACATCTCCGAATAAAAAGCATTCATTCAGAAAGGTTTAATTTCAAAAACATAATTGCACTATTGAACCTTTCTGTAACACAGAAACAGTAACAGAAGTGGGAGAGCCAGCTGGTGTAGTGATTCCGAGTGGTGGGCTCTAATCTGGAGAACCAGGTTTGATTCCCCCACATCCATATGAAGCCTGCTGGGTGACCTTGGGCCAGTCACAGTTCTTTCAGAACTCTCTCATCTCACCTAGCTCACAAGGTGCCCATTGTTCAGAGAGGAAGGGAATGTGATTGTAAGCCACTTTGAGACTTCTTAAGGTAAAGAAAAGTAGGGCATAAAAACCTACTTGTCTTCATTTTAAAAAAAAACACCCAACAATCTGAAATACATAGATGTAATTTTGAATGGAAATCTTTGGGTTTCTACGTTGCACAGATACTGCATTTGTTGGTTGTATGGATGAGCAATGAAAACCCACTGTTTGGGGTTTTTTTCTTTTTCTTTCAGGGGATTTTGTTTTTTCAGTATATTTATAAATCTCAAAGAATAACTTTTTGCCTTACATGAGAACCTGAACTTCCTGAAATTATCCTTTCTGAAAGACAACTGGAGAGGATCTCTAGTTATAACACAACTGCGTTATCATAGTGGAATGGAAATGAAGAAATCTGTTATTTCTAGTTTTTTTTGGCCTTAGCTGAGTTCAACATGCCAGAAACACTTGAAGGAACATAGTTTTCTTCACCCTTCTCTTGGTTTCTGCTCTTGCAGCAGCTATATTAGTTATATGTGCATTTAAAAAAAAATCAAAACACAGTAAATCCTTGAAACTATTTGCCCAGAACTAACATCAAGAACATGCCATGGCTTTTATAATCTGTTCTAACGGTTTAATAAATTTTCAGCCATATTTGGCTTTACATCAAGGATGTTACTATGTGCCAGCATCTATTTTAAGGATTTTTCTTTTAACTTGACTGCACGTGAAATGCAGCCTTCATGCTTCACTGCCAGGGGCAGCAGGTCTCTGCATGCTGCTTCCTTTAGCAATGACGGTGGTAATGAGATACAGGATTACCTGTTTAAGTACCTGATAGGAATCCATGCAGTTTCTAGGCCCACTCCTTCCTTAAGGCTTATTCTGTCTTAAATTTCTGTGTATGGCATTCATATTGTTATGTGCACACAGGGGATTTTTTTTTCTTCACAAACAAATAAATAGGTAGAAGCATTTTTTTCCTGACATTTTGGAATTTTTGTCACAATAGGTCTGAAAATGTAAGGTAGCTCCAACAAATGAAACCATGTTCCACATTCTTAAGTTGTTCTTCTGTAGCTCTGTTTGCTTTTAACAGCCTATAGAAAAGCAGCTGGAAAATGGCTCTGCTGGCCATCTGTATCCAAATAGATTCACATCTTGGACCAATGGTCCCTCTAAGCTATGGAGTCTTATGAGCAAAAATTATACATCTTCTTCGTGGTCTCTGTGCATCACACCTCTGGGATATAGTGCGCCTGCACCGACCTCGATCGGTTCCTCTTGAAAGCGAAAGGAATTTCGCACCCGCTCCCTAGTCACACACCAGCCCCACTGCGCATGACCGAGGGAGGGGCATGACAATCCCGCCAGTTCTCTTTGACCGCCGCACTGGTAGGATCTTCTCCGCTTAGGTCGGTAAAAATTTGGGCTTTTAGGCCTATTCCACATTTTCTTCAAAGTTTCTTCATTTTCTTCTTGTTTATTTTTTGCTTGTTAATATCCCAGAGGTGTGATGCACAGAGACCACAAAGAAGATAAACAGGTTGCTTACCTGTAACTGATGATCTTCGAGTGGTCATCTGTGCATTCACACCACTCGCCCTCCTTCCCCTCTGCTTTCGGCCCTCTCCTTTGTATTACTCTGAGACTGATGGCAGCGGTTAGAAGGAACTGGCGGGATTGTCGTGCCCCTCCCTTGGTCATGCACAGTGGGGCTGGCATGTGACTGGGGAGCGGGCACAAAAATCCCTTTCGCCTTCAAGAGGAACCAATCGAGTTCGGCGCAGGTGCACTGTATCCCAGAGGTTTGAATGCACAGATGACCACTCAAAGATCATCAGTTACAGGTAAGCAACCTGTTTTCTGTGAGCTACTGGCATTAAAGTTGTGAGTGAGCAATTTGCCTACTGCATAAATTAATTTGCTCTGGAGCCATCCTTCCTAAGACAAAAATGTGTGATCCGGAGGCTAAAAAACTGAGCTAGCTCACACTGACTCAGGTTAGAGGGAACACTGGACTGGGCACCTTACTCCCCCAAAGTGAATCTGCCAAGTAAATGGCACTGAGTTCTGTTCCACCTAGACTGGGCCTGCACTTAAGAGCTTCACAAAGGGGGCAGTCTGGGTGTCTGTTGTGGAGAGGAGAACGGAAAGGGATTGTAAGCCACTCTGAGACTCCTTTGAGTACTGAAGGGCGGGGTATAAATCCAATCATCTCCTCCTCCTCCTCTGTTTCAAAATGGAACATTGTTTTGAAAGTTGCTCTAATCAATAGTCTGCTTTTTTCCTACAAGTTTCTGAAAAAGGCAGGAAGCATATTTGAGATACATATAAATATCTCATTTCACCATATCCTTAAAAAACTTTATGCAGTTTGGGAGGGAACCAGTAAAGTTTGGTTTGATGTTCTGAAGCACAGTAATTAAGCTAATATAAATTAAAAGGGAGTTAAGCTGCTATTTCTCTTAGCCTGTATTTACAGGAATTTGACCTTGGGCAAGCATCTTCTGTTTGAAAATACTTTTGTTGATATGCTGCCATTCTCTTGTACACGTTCCAAAAGAGTTTTGCATTAATGTTCTAATTGCCTATGGGCTTGTATACCTAAGAGGAAATTTCAGTGTTGGGTTTCAAAAAGAGAAGCAATGATATGTTTTCAGTGGTAATTTTGTGTGAGTGCATTTCCAGACATTTCAATTAAAATGACTACCTAGTAAGCTCTCAAGTTTGCATAGTGTACCAGAAGCAAACAATGCTGCCATTATCTTCTGTCTTTATTTCTTTGGGATGAGGAAGCACAAGAGGTACTTGGTATGTTTGTGGATGCTATTTATAATCAAAACCTCCACAGGCATCACTTTGTAACCTCTTGTTTGTCTCCGATGACACCACCGAGCTCTCTTTGGAGCAGTGCATTACTCGCCTGCAACAGTTTAGATGTAATGTATTTTAGGAGCTAACGGCCATAATATTAGTTCAGTCCAATAACCATGGAGTATAGGTGTCCTGAGCTAGCTTGGACTTTAAAAGCATAACAATCACATTTGTATATTAAAGCTTATAAACTGTTATCCTGCAAACTGTGAGGGTTGGATCCATACATGTGTGAGGCTGTTGTGCTTTCTGTATGTCAAATTGTGTGCTGCTTTCGAAACTTCCTTTCGTTGACCATCAGCGAGCACTCATACCATACTTCAATACCTTTTGCCTTTTTATCGCCTTTGGATTTTGTGCCACAGTTATGTATGTTTGCCTTACTGAAGCACCCAAGGCAGCTAACCATCCACAATCATAAAATAGGAGCATATTCCAAAGCAGAAAATAAAACAATTTAAAATGTAATACATCCCTGGGAAACCTGCTTGTCATAATTCTGATCAGATCATTCAAAGGCTGCTCAAATAACAATGTCATATGACTATGCCAGAAGGCCTGAAAGGATGGTGCTAATTAACCGTCTTCATGTGTAGGGGGTGGGATTTCTATAACTTGGGAGCAGGTGCAGAAAAAGCCCTCCCTTGAGTAATCTTCAAAAGTGCAGGTTCCAGTAGAAGGGCACCCCCACTGACACTCCAGTTTGGGGAGGTTGATATGTCTGGATGTATTCCTTCATTTAAGTCTTTAAGATAGCCTTAGAAATTGGAAGCCAGGGTACCTGGCACCAATGTTCCCTCTAAGATGTGGAGTCTTGTGAGCAGAAATTCTACTTTGTGTGCTGGTGGCATTCAAGTGGTGAGCGAGCAATTTGGCTACTGCATGAATTAGTTTGCTCTGGAGCCATCCCTTCCTGAGCCGAGACAAAAACGTGTGAGCCGGAGGCTAAAAAGCTGTGAGCTGGCTCACACTAACTCAGCTTAGAGGGAACACTACCTGGCACTACAGTTGACAAACATCAGTCGACAATACCTAGGAAGAAATGCATGGTGGGTCCTGGTGCTGGTATTGCACTGGCAGTCCTACATCACTTCTGGTAAAAACTATAAGTGACATGGCAGACGCTCTAACATTTTGCTGAAAAGTAGTGGTTACCATACAGTTTTGGAAAATGCTAAAGTATCTGCCATGTCACTTACAGTTTTTTACCAGAAGTAAAATGTGCACCGGTGTAGCTCCAGCTTTGCATTCTTCCCCCAGCGTGCATTTCCTCCTCTTGGTGCCCGAGGCACTAGTGGGCCACAAGGTGGGATACCTGGAATCCCTACCTAAACAATACTGACTTTATGTATGAATTTCGCTGAGTCACAGCCAAGAAACTTTATCGGTTTACGTTTTTGAACAATCTTTAAAGGCTAGTTCATGTAGAATGTGTTTAGAGTAGTCTAGTCCGGATGTTAGCAAAGCCTGTACAACAGAGGTCATGTCGGTTTTCTCCAGGAACAGCCACAGCCGGTGCCCCAGTCTAGACAGATTATCCAAGTGTACCCCAGACTGTGATGTTAACCATAATGTTAACTTCAACATTAACATCATTTAACAGCCTGCATAACCCAGACGATAACGATAGCTGGTTGATTTGTCGGATGCTGCTTATGCCCGCTATCGTATATGACCCATGTAGCACTAGCACTTTGTAATGTTTTACTTGTGTAAAATTCCACGTCAGCCACCCTGAGCCTGCCACTGCGGGGAGGGTGGGGTAGAAATTAAATAAATAAATAAATAACTCTGCTCAGAACAGGTTGAGACTTATTTCTGTATCAACTTTACTACAAGCTCACAGCACTTCTATCTTTACCCGGTAATACTGCCATTTGTTTACCATCCTCTACAGACACTGTTATTATTTCTGTCAGTTCCTTTGATTTAAAAGGGTAGGAGTGCTCAGAGCTGAATGTCATAGCATATTTAATGGCACTTTGCTCCACATGAGCTCTCCTAGTAGCTTCATGTAGCCTCAGTGTCTTCCTTTCTTGGAAAGGAGATGTGGGTAAGAATACAACCTAATAGCAGTGGTACTATGAGGTTTGGCCTTTGGGATGAAAACCTAGGGTTTCCAGCTACCATTGCTCAGTTCAGGGGCCTAAAAATACAGTCTGTAGCTAGAGATGGATGAGCTCTGCCCAGCATACTTCTATATTTATTCCCCCACTTCCTTCCCTCTGGTGCATTCTGGGAATTATAATTCTGAGTCTAAAATTACCTGGCTGTTCTACTGAATGACAGGAACTGAACTTCTAACAGAAAAGATGCATGGAGTGGGAAGTAGACAAGAGTTGCTGAATGTTGAAAGTGGCTTGAGATAGCCCTGCTCTTCCCACAATGAATGCACATTTCTTTTTCCTCCACCGTTGACTCTGAACAAATGGGTTGTGCAGATTTTTGAAACAATGTAAAAAAAAAAACCCCTGCAACACTTGTTGACCAGAGGAGAAAGTGGGATGAATATTCACACACTGAACATGAATGTTCACACCCTTTCAAAACATCTTCAGCCCTTAACAAATTACTACAATTTGCCTCTGGCCTTAAACTACTCATTACTAATCAGCTTTCTCATATGTTTAGATATTTTTAGATCATTGCAATTTCCGCCAAAAGGCAGAATTAATATTGGACAACAGGTTTTTGTTGTTGTTTTTAAGTTGCCTGGCAAGTGGTTAGAAGCTACAATTATGAAACCCAGTGTTGGGAGGTACCAGTTCAGAAACATTTTATACATTTAAGAAGACTTTTTGATCTTCTCTTCCAAAAATGTTGACATGTCTGTGCTTTGGTAATTTTTTAGTAAGTAATTGAAATTGTATCAGACTGAGGATAACTTTGATATGGTTTTAAAAGCATTATTTCAGTAAGTGTAATATATACCATTAGTTATTATATTTAGTAAACCAGCACTCCTTCCTTCCTTCCTTCCTTCCTTCCTTCCTTCCTTCCTTCCTTCCTTCCTTCCTTCCTTCCTTCCTTCCTATTTCCATTATAAACTTTAAAACCCACACCAAAAAGGCATGCATGGCAAGGCAGATCTTAACTGTCAAAAAAATTCCTCTTACAAGCATTAGTGGAACATGTTGGGAATTTTCTATGAATTTTTTTTTTCTTTTTGGTTATGTTTTATTAATTTTCTATGAAATAACTGTTGCATAGAGGAGCATTTTGTAACATGCCGTGGGCATGCATGGATCCATTCATTGTTTTGTTTCAGGCTTCGTCCATGCAGCTCTATCTTAGAGAATGAGATGCAGCTTTTCAAATGTATGTTTGCAAGATGCTTTAGCCCTCACTGGTCTCCTGCCTATACTTATAGATGATGGACTGTTATGGAGATCTAAGGAGGAATATGCAGATCATAGCACTCATTGGGTGCATTCAGACGGGCATTCACAACGGTTAGGGTGCCGGTTCCAACCGGTGTACTTACGGGCATTCACACGGCGAACATCTGCCTCCCGTCTCTAACCGTTGTAAATCCCTTTACACCGTTGCACTCTGCCACTAGGTCCGAAGTGGTGGTAAACAGAGTGCAACGGTTGTAATCGGTGCACCCCAGCATCTGATCGCTCTCCTCCGTTCCCCAGCTACTTCCGTCGGAAGCCTGAGGCTTCCGGCTTTCCCCGGCCATTTTTTTAAAAAACTAAGTGATATGCGCTCAGGCGAAGCTTCGCCCTGAGCGTTTGTTTAAAAAAAAAAGCCTTACTTTAACTTCCCAGAGGAGTCCGGGACTACAGGGAGGCCAGGTTGGGCTTTAAACTTTAAAGGTAAGTGCTTACCTTTAAAGTTTAAACGTAAGGGGGGGGTTGAGCATGCGCAAAAATCGCCATTCTCTGAATGGCTGCCTATGCGCATGCTCAAACTGTCCTTTAAAAAAAAAAAGCCAACGCCCGCAGCATGTGAGCGGGCATCCACCGGAGGGATCCGCAAAATGGAGGGTAAGTCTGATCGCGTTTATGCCAGCAGAAAGGCCGCGTCTGAACGCACCCATTGTGGAGGAGATTTTTCTTGTGGTGTTAAGATAGCAGTGCTGAACTTCTGCTGTGGAAAGCTGCCTTGTGACAAAATCTGTCTTTTCCCTGACCTGGAAAATTAAGCACAGCTCACTCCTCCTATTCATATTTACTTATCCTTGATCTTGAAGGAGGCTCAAACAGGTTTTTCTTCATATTTATTGGGTTACTACTAGTGAAATTTCAGGACTTGGATGCATAGGACTATCCTCTGATAATGTAGTCTAAAGAGTTTGATGACACCAAGTGAATTGAGGGAGGGATCACATTTTTAGGATGTTCAATATGATCAAATAAAGAGGGTATATCCCATAGAATCAATTCAGATTGTGTTTTATAGGCTTACATTCGTGGAAGAATGATATCTGGTTGGTTAGAAAGGGGTCCAACACAAGTGGTTCCAAGCCAGATAGACAGTTAACCATTAATTACATGTACAAATTGTGTTCTTTCATTTTAAAAAAAGTCAAGTCTGCCACACTCTTAGTTTAAAACAGAGTTCATTCTCAATGCTTAGTTCTTTACAAAGCCCGTTATATTTCTGTTTGCAGAATGATCTCACTCTAGGACACATTTTTGTTTTGACAGAGGGAGAATACATCAAGATGTTCATGCGAGGACGACCAATCACAATGTTCCTTCCTTCAGATGTAGACAAATATTACGAAATTAAGACAGAGCTGCCTCCTGAGAAATTAAAACTGGAGTGGGTGTATCCTTATCTCAAAACTCAGCAAAAATACTTGTGCACTCTTTTTTTTTGTTCCTTCTGGTTTCCTGTTTTTCTCTTATGACAGTGAAGTTTACTTAATTTAATAATTACAAAGGAAAAATAGAGCCCTGAATCTTGGAAAGCATTTTTTTCTTCACTGGATAATAGGCTATAAATTTTCATGCATTGACCACTCATATTTTCCTTTTCCTATACAGGGTAATTTCTGCTGTGCCAAACTACAGGGTTCGGCAGTGTTCCTCTGTAGTTTGTTTCAGGGGTGTGTGTTCCCTAAACTGTTACAACAGTTGCTTTAATTTATGGATAATATTAGAGGAAATGTCCTATTCTGTCCCATCCCACCTTGGGAGAACAGCATATCAATGTGAAGAAGAGCAGTGGTTTGAAGTGTCTAATTAAGACTAAGGAAACCCAGGTTTAAATCCCCATTTTGCCATGAAGTTCACTAGATGACCATGCACCATCACTGTCTTTCACTCTGACTCATCATTTCATTGGATTGTTGTGAGGATCAAACGGTGGTGGATTGAACCATGCATGAGCATGGCCCTCCTTGGGGAAAAGTCAGAATTACAGTAAAATAAATATTCAGATTAGGACATGTAGACTATTTGAGTAAGGTTTGCAGGAAGTACTGAAATATCTCTGGTTTTACAAGGATTTACGTTATCATACTCAGCAAGCCGTGAAGAAGACCTGCTATGTGGATATTAAATGCATTTAGCAAATAAAACATGATGACATCTGTCTGGCAGCTGTTGGGAACAGAATGCTGGACAGTATAGCCTGATTCAGCAAAGCAGTTTTATTCTAAATAATGATGGTGACTGCATTCTCAGTTTAAAATCATTTTTCTTACACAAATGTATATACAACCTTTCCAGCCTATCTTGCAGACTGCCTTGAAAGTTATGATCAGCCAGTGAACCGTGTTCATTGTGAACTTATCAGCTGGTTAGAAAAAAAATAGCAGCAAAATATATAAAACTTTCTAGCTCTTGGAACCAATTCCTGTTTTCTTTGTTTAATACAAAACAATATAATGTACATATGGTAAGATTAAAGAGAATTGGATTCCAGTTACATATCTTGTTAGCATCTGCTTGTTTGTTATGCTGTTCATTGGATACCATATGGATTTTTTTTAAAGCTTCCTCCAACATTGCTTTAAAATAAACTGTAATACTGAAGTAAAATCCCTATATCTTCCTTAGTCTAATCTGGTGCATTCATAGCATTGCCTAATAGCTGACTTCCGGCGCGTTGATGGCAGGCACGCTCCTCCAAAGCTCCAGAGAGAGCGGCCCATGACCCGGCAGCAGAGAGGGGGTGTGGCTGGTATTGGACCCCCCCCGGAGCCTCTGTAGAGGGCTCTCAGGCTGGGGCTCCGGGGGTAGTTCTCCCCCAAGGCCGAGGCCAAAGGATTGAGGCTCCCCCCTGCCCTTATAGGTCCCTGCTGCCATGGAACCATTTTGGGCATGAGACGAGCATACCGGACCAGCGAACAACCGGCGAAAATAAAAAGACTTTCTCTTACCTGATGAAGCAGAGTGT